TGGTCAATTGAAGTGCAGCACCCAAGCGCATGCATGTGCTGAGTTTCCGCAAATGATGACTTACAAAAACTTTGTTTTAAATCTCGTATGCTATTGTCTTGAGTTGAACAGTATATTGCTAAGATTGCAAAACTTTGTCTTCACCTCTAGCGCCCAGACCCGAGCGCTGCGGCAGCATATACTGCCATGAGAAGGCGCGCTGCCACGGTGGCACGTGTTACTGCGAGTACGGTTATGCGGGTGATGGCATAGCGGTGTGCGAAAAGGTCGAAGAGGGTGAGGAGAGGGGGTTGCGCTATGCTCCATTACTAATCCTCGATCCCATAATGCGCAGGTGTCGTTAAATTATTTTGCCTTGTAGACCTCTGTAAGCGAGTCCGGTGTGCAGAGAACGCAGAATGTGAGGCTGGTCTCTGTCAGTGTAAACCGGGCTTCAAGGGTGACGGATTCTCCGAGTGCACCCCTGTGGAGGTCGATTCATGTGCGTCGCATCCTCATCTTACTTCCGTACCGATTATACATGTTTATATAAATATGGATATGAATGACACAAATATAAGTGGGATCGACCTTTCAGGTGAAGAGTTTGGGATTTAAGTTGAGGGCTGGTAAGCATTCACCCCCGACCTCCTTTTGGTAGCATATCAGAGCCCATTTTGGAAGATGCATTAAAGCGTCTATTTTCAATAATAAGCAGTATAAGGGAAGTATTAAAGGGGGTGCACCTTGAATTTCACGAGAGGAGCTTAGAGATCCACACCCAGACTGCTTGCTGAGTTTAGATTTCGATATGGAGAAATAACAAAAGGAATTCTACGCTACAAATCTTCCTCCATCCTAAACTTGGTCTATCCATCGCAGTTTTGAGGGGATATAGAAAGGTTTCCATCACGTTTGGTGCTCGTTTTTCCTTGATACTCCTTAATTTAACACATCCTCTATAAGTTGCAATATCGTCCATACTGTCACCACTGCTCAAGTCATTTTTAACCCACAATGGCATAAAACTTCTTTCCATTACTTTAATGCTTGAATGTTCTGTCACCTATACGTCAGCCTCTTGCAATGGCCAATACTGTGGACCCAAGGCTGAGTGCCGCGACGGGGTGTGCGTGTGCGTGCCGGGTTACACTGGTGACCCCTACGACATTTGCACCCGTAAACGACCCCTCTCTGGTAAGGTCGCGGCTTGTATTCGGTCTCCTCGTGCATGAAAGGTGTTATATTTATTCGCTTTGCGCTTTGATACCGGCTGGTTTAAACTCAGAGAAGCATGGGTTCTATCGATAACAAATCTGTCTGGAAATATATGCCATCGTTCCTTTATATACTCGGTTGAATTACCCGAACAGTAGGCAGTTAGACAGCCAATTGGTGTCGCGTCAAGATTGCTTGAGCTTAATATTGGCGTCGAACTTTTACAGATTCTTGCCACGGCATTGAATGCGGCTCGAATGCATACTGTCAGAACGGTGCCTGTGTTTGCTACGAAGGGTTTGAGGGTGACCCAGCCCTCGCATGCACACCAATTTATGATCGTAAGTTCGTTGTTTAAAGTAATATGATTGGGCACTTTTACCACTCAATATCACATGGTGACAGGAAGCCACTGTCGCCAACCTCTCCCTTCACTTCGTTACTACTTAAATGTTTCAAATGATTAGTAAGGGGGATAACTATGAATAGTTACTCTCTTGCATACTTCCAGCTTCCTGTAGAGGTATTCGTTGTGGTGTCAACGCCTACTGCAAAGGAGGAAGGTGTGTTTGCCCTAGAGACTACGTAGGTGATGCAAACCAAATCTGCTATCCTGTCTGGGGTAAGCTACCACCTTCCAACGACTGACTTCACCCGTTTTTCCAAAACAACCTTTCTGCCCAGAATATAGGAGTTGGTTGGCCCTTCAAAGGAGTAACAACCCTTACGCCCAATATTTCCCAAAGTTAATCCCAAAACGTTCGCATTTCTGCAGTATTGTTGAGTAAACCTCCAGACGTCTCCACAACTTGTTTCTATAATAATTCAAATGGTTTTTTTAAATAAAATAATGATTTAGAGTATGAAAATTCACTCTTCAAGGCTCTTCGAGTCCGGACTCCTGTAGCAACCTTGCGTGTCACCCAAACGCAACTTGCTCCCAAGGTCAGTGTCACTGCAACTACGGCTTCGAAGGCGATGGCTTCATTGACTGTTGGCCTAAAGATCCCGGTGCGTACTGTGTCAAGCCCCATTCTGATTGTACTTAATCTCTTAATGCCCAAGCTTTAGTAATCGTCCAACGTGTGCGGTTCCATATCATTGTGCGATCGTTTCATTTGCTTGGCTGGTAGTATGATGCTCAGTTTTTTGAATGGGGAATGATCATTCTGTCACAAAAAAATAATCAAGTGTGTATTTTTTTGGCAAAATGTAAAGTTGAGGAAGAATTTTCCATTAGATTATTGTAAATTTCATTCCCACCATTTTTCCTCTTTTTTATGGATAAACTCGGACAGTATTTAGATTAGGTTACTGTTCTATCCCTGCCGGACAACATTATCGCTACGGTTGTGCAACTAAGTCATTTATAGGATCAATTTAGATATCCGATGAATGCCAAAGACGTCAAAGGATGGGATAACAGGAAACACCCAATTACCAGATGGAGAAGCGGACAGTGTTAAGAGATTGCTACAAGTTGATCGCATTGCATCATTGCGGCTTCTGTCCATTACAGCTAGTCTTTGCGACTGCAGAGGCTTACCAGCTTCTATGGCGGGGTGCTCAAATGGCAAGTGCCGCTGTATGCCGGGATTCAAGATGACCAGTGACGACTATTGCGAAGAATGCCGCGGAAACGGCGAGTGTGCAGCCAACGCGCAGTGCACCTATGACAGACAGATGCAGCACTACCGGTGCGTTTGCGACGCTGGCTTCTTGGGAGATGGCGCCATCGCCTGCATTCCAGGTGCGGTAGCCAATCGTACTGAGGCAGCGCAGTGTCGTGCACCGTGCCACCGTTTCGCCACTTGCGACGAATATGACGGTCGTTGTAAGTGTCGATCTGGCTTCATTGGCAATGGCTACACCTACTGCGATTTTGACTGCAGTCAGTGCCTTGCTGAGGCACAGTGTGTGCCTGAGTCCAGTCAGTGCGTCTGTCCGTCAGGATATACCGGCGACGGTATTCGCATGTGTCGTCCAGTCACTAGCCAAGGTGGGTTAAGTCGCGAAATCGCATCTGCGTTCACTTCTTCCGCTCTCAGAATGCTCTTCTTTTGTAGGTCTATTCACACTGAGAATCTTGAAGGACAGCGAAACGATTCGCGTGCGTGAAGGCTCTGGACCTCTCACCCTCCGTTGCGTACTCTCGGGTGACGTACGTAACGTGCAGGCACGTTGGTTGGTTCCCGGTGACGTTGGCCGCACCGACGAGCAGGCCACGCATGAAGGTCGGGAATTGTGGCTCACCGTCGATCAGCCCAGCCCCAAGAATTCTGGCCCCTACGTCTGTCAGGCTTCTCGGATTTCAGACACCATCAACGTTATCGTCGAGCCACAGCAAAAGAGTATTATAATTATCTTACTATAAAGAAGTTTTCTGTTGTCTTGAGGAATAGGATTAAACTGCTTTTTAATGTTTAATATGGTTCGGCACTAAAACTCGTTGTTATAAAATAGACAAACTCGTGTGCATCTGCATTTGCATTGAATGGGTCGATTTAAATGTGCGGGTTCGTCACTTGTAATACCAC